GGGGGGGGGGATACCACTCCCATTGAGAATGCGTGGGACCATTGGTCCTTAATGTTTTGTGGGCCCCAGACAGCCCTTTGAGAACATGACAAAAACTGTGGACCTTATCCAAGAAAAATACATACATGCCTGTATTTCCAATATCCTGAAGCAAAAATTACATAAGGTTCATAGATCCCAATCTAAGTATCCTTGTATTACACTGAATCTCTTCAAGAACCCTGAAGGAATCTCATTCTATTAATCTATCTCCCTAGAGTACCCGAGATGCCTGGCATATATAATAATTGTAAAAATAGTAACAGCTAATGTTTACTGAACTCTTGCTAATATGCCAGTACTAAGTGTTTAATACTGTACTAAATGTTTATCTCAGTTAATCCTTGTAACAACCCCCCGAGGTAGGTTTTGTTATTACCCCCATTTTAAGATCTGGAAATGGATAAGTTATTTGACCAAGGTCACATGCTACGAAATGATAGATGGAATACTTGAACGAAGATCTGCATGAATTCTAGAGCCAGTTGCATAGTCATGTTATACTATATTTACTGAATAGATACTTGTTGAATGAATGAATGTTTTCCTTTGCTATTAACCAGCTTTCTTATAAGATAATCCCTCCTTAACTGGGTTATAAACTCCTAAAGGATAGGAGCTTTTTTTGTGCTTTTTTTGCTTTAATTGTTAGCATCTCTCACTGGAACTTTATGGTATCTTAGAAGTGCTATCATTGACCCCATTTTGTCCCTCAGTTTCCCCATCCTGACAATCTCCTGTGCTTAGAGTGTGGTGGGTAGAAGCAGTGATAGAATACAGGGGGTTGGCTGATGGGTAACTGGGAAAAGAAGCTACACTAGGAAGCTTTATAAGGCAGTGGTTAAAACACCTGGAAAGCTCTAAAAGCCAGAGACCTATATACTGTATGAATCTACTTAAATGAAGCTCTAGTCTAAGACAAATCTTAAATTTTTTTAATGTTTATTTATTTTTGAGAGAGAGACAGAGACAGAGACAGAGCATAAGCTGGGGAGGAGCAGACAGAGAGGGAGACACAGAATCCGAAACAAGCTCCAGGCTCTGAGCTGTCAGCACAGAGCCTGACATGGGGCTCAAACCCACAAACTGCAAGATCATGACCTGAGTCAAAGTTGGATGCTTAACTGACTGAGCTACCTAGGCACCCCTAGAAAAGACAAATCTAATGTATGGTGACCAAAAGGAGATCAGTAATTGCCAGGGATGGGGATATTGACTGCAGGGGCAAGGGAATTTTGGGGGGCAAAGGAAATGTTCTTTATCTTGATCAAGGAGGTGCTTACATGGGCATATACTTTTGTTAAAACTCATAGAACTGTATATTTCATTTTTTTATTTTTAATTTTTAAAAAT